TTTCCAAATTTGATACTCAATAGTTTCACTTTGCTGTGCCTAGAATAATTTCCCTTTTACTTATTCTTTTTGGGTTCATAGAATTTCTTGAAATCCAGACCTTGATGTCTTTATTCAGCTATAAAGAAATTTCAGCTCTTATATCTTCAAATACTACTCCTTTGTTATTCTCTATTCTTATTATATTGGATTCTAATTACAGATTTGTTTGATTTTTCACCATGCCTCCTCCCACACCACATACTTTCCAGTTTCTTTTGAATTCTGTTCTTTAGTTTGAATACTTTCTACCAACCTATTTTTAAGCCATTCTTCTTCTTTTTTTTTGTCTTTTTCTAAAATGCTCTTAACCTCTCTACTGAATTCTTAATTGTTGTGATGTTTTTCATTTCTGGAATTTCTGTTTGAATATTTTTAGTTATCCAATTATCTGATAAAAATTCTATATTCTATTACCTTCTTGAACATAATTATTCATAGTTATCTTAAAGTCCAAGTCTAGTCACTTCATTATCTGAATCACCTTTGATCTATTTCTATTGACTTTTTGCTTTCTTTCCTTATCTGCTATTTTTCAAATGAATAGCAGGCATTTTACATTTTAAAATATTGCAGCTATAGATAATTTTGTCTTCCCTTAGAAAAGATTTATCGTACTCTTTTCCAGGCAGCTAGGGATCTCCATAGTGTAACTGGGATCTGAAATGGTTCAAAATTCTGTAAACCTCTAGTCCATCTCATGTTTATACCAATTTCTTCTAGAAATTTCAACTTAGACTTTGGAATCTTTATAGAGTGCCTTCACCTGGTATATATTGAGTATTTTAGCCATTATTAATCCAAGAACTGATTAACATTATGCTATGCTTTTTAGCCATGTTCTAATAGGCATCTTAGCCCCTAGCCCTGGGTAGTTTAAGCAATATAAAGAGTATTAGGTGTATTTTAATAAACATGTCTGTGATTTTCACTCCCCAAGCAATGCCTTCAAAGATTATTTTAATTTTCACATTGGCTTCTTTACTGGTTTTGCTGAGTGTTGACTGACTATAAGCTACTCTGTCATAACCATAAGAGGGATCCCCCAGAGTGCTATAAAATTTGAGGTAAGAAAACATGTCACACAACAATAGTTTGATGAAGCAGCCATGATGACTTTTTTTGTTTCCTTTTAGCCTATCTGCATGTATTCCACTAAAATGATTATCTGAAGCATAATCTGAATGTAACATTTACTCATTTAACATTTTTAAATGAATACTGCATGTGCTAGAGTAATTTTCTCCATTGGATGTTTATAGTGTCCAGGTCTTTTAAGCTTTTCACAATTTTATAAAATTATTTGAAAAGTGAACAAAATTGTCTTTAGTAAATGTTAATTTTCGTTTTATAAATGTGACATCAATTAGTCAGCTGCAACTCATCACTTCATATAAAGTTATTTTTTGTGGAAGGCAAGAATATATTAGTATTTTTGATATTATATAAAATAGGTTTCAAAAATAAGTCTAAATCCTTCAGAGTTGGTGAAATTCCTTGAATTTTAAATAGTTACTAAGATCTGCTTTATGCACACTATTTGGTTTTACTTTGTAGTGCTCAACTAGCTTTATATCCCTATTCTCAATACTTTTTGACATAGCTGAAACTACCCAAACAAAGTCGAACATTACTATTATTCTTTTCTATTTATCCATGTCTTTATTGCTAAAATTTTGATAATATATGACTAAACGGTGTTCTTTGTCCACCAATAGAACACCATTTCTTTTTTAATTCTTTCTTAGTCATCTGTTCATTTGGCTTCTATTATATATTTCAGGCATACCTTAGAGATATGAATTTTGTTCCAGACTACCACAATAACGCAAACATCACAATAAAGTGAGACACAGGGATTCTCTGAGTCTCCCCAGTGCATATAAAAGTTATGTCTGCATTATGCAGTAACCTGTTATGTGTGCAGCAGCATTATGTCTAAAAATACTGCATACCTTAATTTGAAAATACTTTATTGCTAAAAACTGATAAGGATCATCTGGGCCTTTAGTGAGTTGTAATCTTTTGGCTAGTGAGGGCCTTTCCTTGATGTTGATGGCTGCTGGCCAATCACCATGCTAAGGATGAGGGCAACTGGCAGTTTTTAAGACTAGGACAACAGTAAAGTTTGCCTGTTTTGGATTGACTCTTCTTTTTGCAAAAGATTTCTCTTTAGACTGGGATGCTGTTTGACGGTATTTTTCCTACAGTAGAACTTCTTTCAAAATTGGAATCAATACTCCCAAAGCCTGCCACTTCCTTATCAACTAAGTTTATGTAACATTATAAATCCTTTGCTGTTATTTCAATGTGGTGTCTTCACCAGGAGTAGATGCCACTTCAAGAGACCACTTCCTTTGCTCATTTATGAGAAGCAGCACCTTATTTATTCAAATTTTATCACAAGATCACAGCATTTCAGTGACATTTTCAGGCTTCATTTCTAATTCTCTTTCTCTGGTTATTTCTACCACATCTACAGTTATTTGAAGTATTCAGTCTTTCGAGTCATTCATGAAGGTTGGAATCAACTTCTCCCAAACTCCTCTTAATGCTGATATTTTGATCACTGCACATTAATCATAAATGTTCTTAGAGTCATCTAGAATTGTGAATGCTTTCCAGAAAGCCGTCAATGAATTTTTCTTGGATTCATCCCAGGAATCACTATCTAAGGAAACTATGCCTTATAAAAGGTATTTTTTTAAACAAGAAGACTTGAAAGTTAAAATTACTCCGTGATTCACAGGCTGAAGAATGATATTGTATTAGCAGGCATTAAAATAACATTAATCTTTTTGTTCCTTTCTGTTAGAGCTCTTGGGTGACCAGATGCATTGTTAGTGAGCAGTAATATTTTGAAAGAAATCATTTTTTTCTGAGAAGTATGTCTCAACAGTGGACTTAAAATATTCAGTAAGCCGTGCTTTAAACTTCTGTTCATAGAAAGCCATAACCATAACCTAGTAGAGTAAGGTGATGAAAAAGCCGGTGCTGTCATCCAGGCTTTGTTGTTCTACAAATAGATTACACAGACAGAGTATGTTTAGCATCATTCTTAGGAGCCCTGGGATTTTCAGAATGGCAAGTAAGCATTGGCTTCAAGTTAAAAGTCACCAGCAGCATTAGCTCCTAATAAGAATGTTAGCCTGTCCTTTGAAGCTTTGAAGCCAGATACTGACTTCTCTCTAGCTATGAAAGTCCTATATGGCACGTTTTTCCAATACAAGGCAATTGTGTCTACACTGAAAACTGATTATTTAGTGTAGTCGCCTTCATCAATTATTTTAGCTACATCATCTGGAAAACTTGCTGCAACGTTTACAACAGCACACCAGGTTTTACATCAGCTTACACTACTAGGTTATGATGACGACTTTCTCTACATCTCATGAACCTAGCTCTGCTAGCTTCGTAGTTTTCTTTTGAAGTTTTCTCACCTCTCTCAGTCTTCTTAGAATTGATGAGAGATAGGGCCTAGCTCTGTATAGGCTTTGCCTTAAGGAAATGTTATGGCTGGTTTGATCTTCTGTCCTGACCACTGAAACTTCCTTGATGCCAGCAATAAGTTGTTGTGCTTTCTTATCCCTTGTGTATTCACTGGAGTAGCGTATTTAATTTTCTTTAAGAACTTTTCCTTTGCATTGAAAATTTGGCTCTTTGGCCCAAGAGGCCTAACTATGAGCCTATCTCAGCTTTTGACATGCCTTTCTCACTAAGATTAACCATTTCTAGCTTTTGATTCAAAGTGAGAGAAGTGTGACTCTCTTTCACTTGAACATTTAAAGGCTATTGTAGGATGATTAATTTGCCTACTCTCAATATAGTTGTGTCTCAAGGAATAGGAAGACCCAAAGAGAGGGAAAGACGAGGAAACTACACATTGGTGGAGCAGTGAGAAAACACAATATATTTCAGTTAAATTTCCCGTCTTACATGGGCATGCTTAGTCATACTCCAAAACAATTGCAATCATTATATCAAAGATCACTGATCACAATCACAATAATAATGGAAAAGGAATATTGTAAAAATTACCAAAATGTGACACAGAGGCACAAAGGAATGCCATGCTAGGAAAATGGTGCTGATAGACTTGCTGAATGCAGTGTTGTCAAAAATCTTCAACTTGTAAAAAATGCAATATTTGCAAAGCACAGTAAAATGAGGTATGTCTGTACGGACATTTGGCTTCTGTTTCATATACTACATATATGTAGTATATTACTTATATTGTATTATATATTTCTAGTATTTATAAAAATCATCAAATTTATATTTATATGTTCATTTTTAAGCTTCTGAAAATCAGCGGTTGTGCCTTAAAAGACAAGATATATAGTATGTAATAAGTAAACGCACGTTTTATTTGAAATGGAATTTAAATAAGTTTTGAGGGTTAGGTAGAATATATACAGACTTTAACAGGAAGAAGAGTGTTGCGGAGGAAGAATACAATCACCAGCTGCAGGTGCATTTGGAAAAAGATTTTCTATTTGACTGAAATCCAGTATATCTATAAAGTTGGTGTCATTGATAAGTTCTGAAATATAGATTAAGATGTTTATCAAATGTTTTGAAGTTGAGACAGAAGAATTTTAAGAACTATATTGTTGATGATTAAATATTTTTGAAGGAGTAATAAAAGTAGAACTTTGCTCTAGGAGAATTTATATGATATATTTTTCTCAGGGCCTTAACAGGAGCAGAGGCTAAAGGGATGAGCATAAACCCGTAGAATCAAAAGGATTAAGCAATTGATTGAACTGGTGGTATGCAGAAGAAGGCAATTTAAACTCTACTTCCAAAGAGCAAATTTTGGTTTGGTTGAATACTGATTGCCTGTATGTATTAAATGATTTATACTGGAACTCGCTAATATTATACTTTTATTGTAACATAATATGATGTGTTCTGCCTGGCTTCTAGAACAAATCTAAGGTATAATATATTTTACTTACTTGATTCTTTCTTCTGTTTTGGAACAACCAATCTTACATAGTGACTCCAAAGTATGCCAAAAAGTCAAATTTCTGTTCACTGCCAAGAACAGTAAGTTTTTCATTATTTTAAAGTTCAAAATATTTCCACATGTTGGGTGTAAGTGTCTCAGTTGTCTTCTCGGGCTACCATAACAAAATTCCAGAGACTGGGTAGTTGAAACGAGAGGAATTTGTGTTCTTACAGTTCTGGCAGGTTGGAAGTCTAAGGTCAAGCTGCTGGCCAATTCAGTTCCTGATGAGGGCTCTCTCTGTGGCTTGTAGATGGTAGCCTGCCCGTCTCACTCTGTCCTCACATAGGACAGAGACAGAGCAAAACAGCTGTTTGCTATCTCTCTCTCTCTCTCTCTTTTTTTTTTTTTTTTTTTTGAGACAGAATCTTGCTCTGTGGCACAGGCAGGATCTGCAACCTCTACTCCCTGGGATCAAGCGATTCTCCTACCTCAGCCTCCTGATTAGCTGGGACTACACGTGTGTGCCATCATGCCGGGCTAATTTTTTGTATTTTTAGTAAAGATGGGGTTTCACCATATTATCCAGGATGGTTTTGATCTCCTGACCTCATAATCCACCCACCTCAGCTTCCCAAAGTTCCGGAATTACAGGCATGAGCCACCATGCCTGGCCTGCTATCTCTTCTTCTTAGGGTGTTAATCTCATCATGAGGGCCTACTCTCATGATCTCATGTGAACCTAATTATCTCCCAAAAGTTCTGAATCCAAATACCACAAGCTCATCAGGGCTAGGACTTTCACATATGAATTTTGGGGAGACACAATTCAGTTCATAGCAGGGTGTGTGTGTATATATATTGTATGTACGTGTGTGTGTGTGTGTGTGTGTATGTGTGTGTGTATGTGTGTTTCTTCCTACATAATGTTTTTGGCTTTTTATTTGAGTAAGAAAATAAAAAAGAATCAATGTATACTTGCTAAAAGCAAGTCCTTGCCCAAATATCCAAGTATTTCATAGAGAATAGCAACCCAATCCTGCTGGTCTTTTTTGCCTGGAGTCAGTAAGAAGTATTGCTAAATGGCCTCAGGAGGACTGTCACTGCCTCTGCAGATTTGCATTCCCAGAGAGAGGGTCCTGAGAACTACTTCAGCTGTCTAGGCCTCTTGAAGCTGAAGTTAGGCTATTGAGACTGGCCTAGGGGGAAAATGTGTCATCTGTTTTCTGTAAGCTCTTTGGCTTTGATTCAGTCAGCAGCTTTTAAATGCCAGCAATATTGCCGCTTTAAGGTTTAATTAAAGGGATTAACATAACAAATCCAGGAAAAAGATAACCATATTACATGGCTTTGGGTTTACCAATAAAACATAAAAATAATTAAGGTAATTTGATTTTCTGCTTTCGGCAATACTTTTTTCCAGATTTATACTAAACAATGAGCACAAAAGCCCGGTGAGCAGAGGCCAGACTTAGCCATATGTTCAGCAAAGAAGCTACCAGAACAGATGTTAAAATGTGTTGATCAATACCACTAATTTTTAATAATCAGCAAAGTAGTAAATGTAGTAAATGCCAGTTCTTAGAATTTATTTAGTTAAGAATTTTTAGGCATATAAAGAAGTGAAAAACGTTGTTAAACTTTTACGCTTTGGAACAAAATTTATGCCTTTTTGTTGTTGTTAACTAAATGCACAATGAGCATGGGACAAAGCAATGTCTAATGCTACCAGAGCAGAATGGCTAGAGTATTGCTTTGAAGAAAACAAAGTATTTATAGGAGCAATTTATGTTTTCAAAATCTGCCTCTCAGGTCAAAATATTCTACAACTCACAAAGGAGTTTCACTGTGCAATATACTATTGCCAGATTGGCAAGCCACATATCAAGATGTGAACCAAACTTTTGGGGACATACACTCTTCTCACCTCAAACCAGGTGTCTTCTTTTACAATGCCTCATATAATACTAGAACAGATTTGTAACAGAGGTAAAGGGAAAATTCTACTCCTTTCCCATTTTGTTTTGTTTCTTTCAAAACCAAGCAGTTTTCATTTGGTTTTATAAATAAAATAGTAAAAGAAGGCATGCAGTTAGTATCTTTATCATTTTTATTCAGAAACATAGAAAATACAGGTAATTTTCCTTTGGTTATAGCTCATAGCTCAGGTATACATGGGTGAATAAGAAAATCCTTTCTATTTAATTTGGCTATAAATTTAGCAAAACAAATACAGGACAATGTTCTAATATAACAGTAGATAAGCAAATAACACATGAACAGCTCTTACCTTCCTTTTTTAAATTTAGAGCCATTAATCAGTAAATTACATGTCCTATGACTCTCTCATGTATGTCCTCTTGAATAAGTACCTTCTGAATATTTTAAACATTGTTTTGTGTGATGGATTTTATAGTTGGCAGTGAGAGGCTGGAATTTTTCCATTCCCTCTAGCATGATCTAAAAATCAGATGAAAAAAATAAATAGGAAACCAGTTTGAAAAAAGATAATAGTTGCATGTAAAATAATAAAACAAAATATGAAAACAGGTTATATTTATCTGGAGATTTTCTTTAATCCCAGTTGATAGTAAAGGGATTTACAGAACCTCAAATCTGTACACTTAGATTGTTCTGTACTTCTCAAACAAACACTATTTTCAATATGCCTAGGGTACAGTGGTCTACAAATAGAGCTGAGATTTTGCAAATAATTTGCCTTGCAATAAAATATGTTTTTGGTCTGGGATTGTAACAGTAAAAATAAATGAGAGATTGGTCATCTGTAGGGGTATTTCCAGGGACCATTCCTAGACACACTTTTAAAATATATAATGATAAAATGTCTCTCTGGATTTATTAGGAAGAAATCAATCTGAAATGCTCTTACTAAAAAGTAAACTCATTATCATCAGCTTTAAAGTCAGGTAAGGCTGAATGACAGAAACATTTGGTGACTGAAACAAGGAAAGGCAATCAGGGCTAAAAAATCTGTCAGAATCACTTTTAGAGAAATTCACGGAAGTGTGCATTCCAATTCAAAATTATTCTTCTTCTGATTTAGATAGAAAGAGTCTTGGAGTGAAGATCATTGACTACTGTAGGAGGATTTTGGTTGTAAATAGCAGAAAGGAGAGCCAAGTGGACTTAAATAGTGAAGGCAATTATTGGCTCATGTAACTGCCAATTAGTGGAGTTGGCAAGGATTTGTCTGTTACTCAAGTAATTTCACTTAACCTTCAGTTACTTCCCCTATTTCCTGGTTTTATTTCCTTGGGATTGGTGTCAATGGGCAGAATCTTTACTTATTTTATCAAAAATGTAATAAACCACCCAGAATCATAAGCTTCCTTGCTCATGTCTGGCTGCAAAGAGGTTGTTTTCAGGGACCTTCAGGAAAAATCCTGATGACTTCTCTGATGAGATCTACCTAGAATACATTCATCAGTCTGAAATACTTGCATGGGATAAGATTAGTATTAATCATATTTATTATGCCTTCACCCCTGGAGGTGAGGTGGGGTCAATTCCACGCAAAGTAAGGTAACAATATATGGCAGAGGATGATAGATTCCCAAAGAAAATTTGAGATGCTTCTCAAAAGACAGGGATGTGGTGGGAAATAGATATTCCTCACCTAAATCTGCATATATTCACTGACCAACACAATATTAACACAGGACACACAAACTGTTACTCTAGCATCTAATCCCACAAAGCTTGCAGCCTGAAGCGAAATCCATTTATTGCCTTCCACTTCTGTAGGTCACAAGTCTAGCTCACCATTCCTGAAATCAAACTCAAGGTGTCAGTCAGGCTGCTTTCCTCAGAGCCTCCTGGGAATCATCTCCTCACAAATAATTCTTGTTGTTGACAGAATTCATTTCTTTGCAGTTGTAGGACTCATATCCTCTTTTCTTGCTGACTCTAGGCTGAAGGTGGTTCTTAGCTCTTTGATCCTTTTCACGTGACCTTGTTCATCTTAAAGCCAGCAACAGCTCAGTGAATTCCCCTCTTGCTTCAAATCTCTGATTTCCTCTTCTACAACTCTCTGGAGAAAAACTATACTTTTACAGGTTTATATGATTAGATCAGGTTTACCCAGAAAAACCTCTCTACCTAAAAATCAACAATGCCAAATAACAAAACCTAATCCTGGTAGCAAGAACCGTTATATTCCACCACGGAATTATTCAGGACATATACCCCAGAGAGAGCGGATGATCTTTGGGAAAATCTTGATTCTGTTTAACACATTTACCTAATTACTTTTGGCCTATTAATTGGTCTCCGAAGTCAGTTCTTAAAATTTCTCCACTTTTCTATTATCATGCCTGGTGTATTTTCAGGTAGAGCAATTAATTATCATTCAGGTTTAGTAATTAGGGCCTTTGAAATTTGAAGTGATTAAATTGATAAATTACTTTTTGAACCTGTAATTTGATGATTCAACCAAAGACTGATCAGCCTCTGAGCTTCTCTTGAAATGGTCAGTTACCATCTCCTCTATGACAATTACAATGTGCTTAATTGTCATGGGTTCAATTTTCTTTACTCCATTATCTTCCCACTCATATTGAAATTTGATTACTAGTTACTCATTTACCATGTATTCATAAAAATAAATCTCATCTGCAATGCTATATTTTAAAGGTCATCTAAACAAGTGGACAGGATGCAAAAGCTTATGATGGGAAAAGAGATATTTATAGTGCTTCTCTGAACATAAATAAATTGAAATATTGAAGATTTCAGTACACCAGAATAGCTAAGACAGCGTATATATTATAATGCAAACAAAAATATCAGTGTCATATTCCCAGAATTACTTTGTAATCTTTTCCTTTTGTTAGCATAAGCTTGGTAAAGAAATTAATGAAATGGAAGCTGTTAAAAATAAACTCGATTGCTTCACCTGTAATTCAACACACCCTTTCATATTTTACCATCAGTTTCAATACCAGCTTTCTCTTGTTTTTCCTTCTTGACCTCAGTTCCTTCATTGTTCTTTATATTCAATAATCAAAGCCTAAGTCCTCTGAGAATCTGATAAAAATCCATTGCTCTTTATGCCACAGAAATGAATATATGCACACTATACAACATTTTGCTTTCAATTTGAGAGGCTCATCAATCCTGAAACTCTCTCCACTTCATATCTCCTGAGTGTTGGTATTTATTTTTCTGAAAATATATTTAACTACACTTCCTCTCTTTTGCTGTAGCTCTCAGCCTAGGAGAAGCTTTTGTTTCTTACATCTCGTTTACTGCCATCATATCCTTGCCCTTTCCAGACAATAGTGTATTTATACTCAATGCACCTCATGCACAGATAAGGTTTAAACATCTTTTTCTAAAAAAATCTCTTTCAATATATTTGTTTATTCAAATGTCTCTCTCTCTCTCCTTTAGTGCTCCTGCCTCTCCTCTAACTTACAAAGCCT